GGAAGTGGCAAATTTCAGTTCCTCATCACTCTCTAACAAGAAATTCCACACTTCATAATTGGCATTAACTCTTTTTTCCTTGATTGCTCAAACAAGAGTGGTAGAGGGAGAGAAAAAAACATGGGCTATTAAACACCTACTAGGCACAAGTAGCAAGTGTGTTGCTAAATAAAATACCCACTAATTCTCGTGGATGTTACCTATTAGTTTTGAGATGAGAGATCTGAAATTTAAAAGTTTATCTATTCCTTGAAGCACTGAAAGTCTTGTGGCTGGGCTCTGAGCCCGGGTATGCCCACATGCGTTGGGCTAGGCTGTCTTCCACAGAATGTTCAAGTGCTAATTTCCACAATTACTATATATTCAAATAAGAAACAGAAAATCGTTGGTTGGGTCTGCATTCATAAATTGATATCAATAATCACTTATGCAGTTGCTGATGGAAAGTTTTTATTACAGTAGTTACTTTTCAATTTCCACATTGAGATAGCTCACTAAAGAATGGAACTCTGAAAGGGACAGCAGCATAGCAGAGTAGTCAGAGCCTGGGCATTTGTGTCCAGCAGACCAGGGTTCAAATTCTGATTCTCCTATTTTAACTCACTGCATGACCTTTGGCAACAGCGTCACATCTCTCTGCCCCACCTTTCTCAGGTCCAAAATTTAGACAATAGCAGGAGAGTCTACCTTAGATAACCTTCGTGAATAACAAATGAGATCTTTGTATGCAGGGTATTCAGCATGGCACCACCATGTAGAAAATACTCAATGTGTTTACCACCCCACCAGACAGCAACTGATTTAGTATCACACCAAAATATTGGCAGCCCTGCTCTCAACCCCCAGCAGGTTCCTTGAACTCTTACCCATTCCTCTATTTGTTGATTTTAGGCATTCAACCGGAAGTAGAACGACTTCAGGGTCTGCAGGAAGGACTACAGTGTGATGATGTGGAGATGCAGATCAAGATTTCTTCTAAAATAGCAAAGGTAGTAAATATAGAAGTCTTCCCAAGGAATGTAAAGATGATTCAGAATTTATTTCCTAATGAGTAAGCTGTGTACTCCCCGCTACGAAGGGAGGCAACAGTCTAGACATTCAGGGAAGGACCTTTCATCCTGTCATTTTTTTAATTTCAAAGTATTAATTGAGGGGGGACAAGTGTTTCTGTTATAATGGATTCCTTGTATAATGCTTAAGTCAGGGCTTCTGGTGTGCCCATTTCCAGAAGAGTGTTCATGGTACCCAAGAGGTGAGTTTTTATCCCACATGCCCCCCACCCTTCTCCCTTCTGGGCTTCTCATGTCCTTCTTATCACTTTGGGCTTGTGTGTGCCATTAGCTTCTACTTAGTACAAAAACATGCAGTGTTTGGCTCCCCATTCCTGAGATACTGCACTTAGCATAATGGTCTCCAGTTCTGCCTATGTTGCTTCAAATTACACTATTTCATTCTTTATTATGGCTGAGTAGTACTCCATGGTATATATATACCACATTTTCTTTATCTATTCATGCATCAATGGGCACTAATGTCGATTCTACATCTTTGCAAATATGAATAGTGCAGCAATAAACATTCGAGTGATGATTTCATAAAATGACTTCTTCTTTTCTTTTGGTTAGATACCTAGTAGTGCGATTGCTGGGTTGAATGGTAAGTCTATATTTATTTCACTGGGAATCCCATACAGTTATCCATAGAGGTTGTGTTAATTTGCTGTCCCATCGACAGTGTGTAGGCATTCCCTTCTTTCTGCATCTATGCCAGCATTTACTATTTTTTAACTTTTTTATAATGGCTATTCTGATAGAAGTAAGGTGGTATCTCATTGTAGTTTTGATTTGCATTTCCCTGATGATTAGTGATATCGAGCATGTTTTCATACGTAGGTTTGGACCATATGACTATCTTCTTTCAAAAAACTTCCTTTTATCTCTTTTGCCTAGTTTTTAAAGGGGCTACTTGTTTTGTTTTTTTCTTGCTAATACATTTGCGTTCTCTGTATATTATAGATATTAGTCCTTTGTCAGACATACAATTTGCAAATATTTTCTCCCATCCTATAGGTTGTGTTTCTACTCTGTTCATTATTTGCTTTGATATGCAGAAGCTTTTTGTTGTTGTTGTAAGCTCTGTGAGCTCAAGTCCTCAATAAATTGGTCAAAGACCTCAGACTTGTTTCTTTCCATGGAAATTTTTAGTGAAAGGTAAAAGATTTATATGATCTGAAGAGAAACCAAAGTATGAAGAAGCTTTTTAATATAATTAAGTTTCATTTGTTTATTTTGTTGTTGCTATATTTGCCTTTGAGGCCTGAGTCATAAATTCTTTGCCTAGGCTGATAGCTAGAGAGGTTTTTCCACATTTTCTTCTAGGATTTTTATTATTTCATACCTTAATTTAAGTCTTTAATCCATCTTGAATTAGTTTCTTATGAATGGCAAGGGATAAAGATCTAATCTTTAATTCTTCTGCATGTGGCTATCCAATTTTCCCAGCACCATTTATTGAACAGGGCTTCCTTTCCCCACTGTATGTTGTTATCTGCTTTGTCAAAGATTAGTTAGTTTTAAGTAGATTATTTTATTTCTGGTTTATCTGTTCTGTTCCACTAGTTGTCTCTAGTTTTTTTTTACCAAGACAATACTGTTTTGGTTACTATACCCCTATAGTGTAATTTGAAGTCAGGTAATGTGATGCCTCCAGATTTGTTCTTTTTGTTCAAGACAGCTTTGATTTTACAGGCTCTTTTTTGGTTCCAAATGAAGTTTAGGATAGTTTTCTCTGAATCTGTGAAATATGACACTAGTATTTTAATGAGGATTGTGTTGAATCTATAAATCACTTTGGGCAGTGTGTACATTAAAATGATCTGAATTCTACCATTCCATGAGCAGGGAATTTTTTTCCCTTTCATTTCTGTCATCTGAGATTTCCTTCATCAGTGTTTTATAGTTCTCCTTGTAGAGATTAGAGATCTTTCACCTCAAGATATACCAACTATATTCCTAGGTATTTTATTTTCTTTTTACCTATTGTGATTAGTATTGAGTTCTTGATTTGACTCTCAGCTTGAATGTTATTAGAATATGGAAATGTTACTTATTGGTATACATGGATTTTGTAATCTGAGACTTTGCTGAAATTATTCATCAATTTCAGGGTTCTTTTGGTGAAGTCTTTAGGGTTTTCTGGATAAAAGATCATATCACCCTCATACGCTGATAGCTTGA